AGAGACACGACCTCCCGTGTCAGGCCCCTTGTAGCATGAGTTTTGAACTTTCTTTGAAACTCCGAGTTTTGCACTTTCCTACACTGATTTGTCCCGATTTATTCTTGTGAGTTTAAAAACAGTAAAACACACAATCAACACATAAAATGTAGAAGAACGAAATGAAACACTGGACAATATAAAGAAAAGGTAGCTAAAATCAACGGTAAATATCTGTATAAAAACTACTAATTACATCTCCAAAACAACAGATCAGTACCTTTCGTTTCATAGGAGCAGTAATATACCGATAATTTTATAATTATAATAAAAAAGAAAGAAGTAAACACCATCATTCAATCAAAACACAAATGCAAAAATATGTGTATTAACATTAAGCTATGAAAACTTAAAGTAACACAAGTCTAATCATACATATCCAAACAAACAAAGAAAAGAGTCATAAAACCAAAATAACAATGATTGTCAATATAAAACCAAAGTAAAACCAACAAAGATACATTAAACTCTAGCCACCACTAATCCTTCTTCTCCACTTTGATAATTTTCTTGAGTTTGTTTGATGACAATTCTTCATCATAAAAACCTTCTGGAGCTTGTTGATTCACTCGATGCATCTGGAAACTGTCTTTTACCAGCAAGCGTAATAGGATTCGGGTTGTGCTTGGATATGATCTCAAGATCCTGCTACATAATGAATTTTAAAAAATTTCTTAGTTACATGAACCAATATATATTATTTAGACCAATTAAAATTATGCATAAACTGGAAGGGAAATGAAGGTTATTGTAAACAAATCAGATTTTTTGGGGGAATTCGGTTTTCCTCATCAACACTATCCTTAATCTAAAGATAATTAAAAGTATTAATAACATATAACATACATCAGCATCATAACAAATCCAATAAAACATAGGCATAAAAAAAAAAGTATAATGGGGTAAATACCTGCAGCGGCTCTGATGTTATAGAGCGGACTTGAGCAACTTCCTTTGTGATGTAATTAAAGTACGATCAGTAGAAAGCTTGTAGATGAAAATAAATAAGCAACCTAAAATACAAAAGGAAGGTATATGTATTATACCTCAATGGTTTCCAACTGAGCGCTAAGTTGTTTAATGAAAGGGTCATTTTTTAGGATCATAACAACTGGGCAATTCTTCCAACGCGGCTGCCACTTGACCTTAAAAGCCATCTCCAAATCCAATATTTGATCAAGTTCTAATGGGAACTATAATGGATGGATCATAAATTCCAGCCTATATAAGGAAGTAACACGATGACTATTATTGTGTATAAAAACTGCATATGTTTCACTGATGGAAAAAAGCACTAACCTGGATCATAGTATGACGCAGCTGAGCAGCAAATAAACCCAAAAGCATCTCGCATTTTCTGTTCCAAAATACAAAGTTACAACTCTTCCCTACGTAACAAACTTCGATCTCAATCTTATACCAATAATGTCGGGAATAATGGTCAAAATAAATAGGATTACATACATATACATATAAGAGTATAATTCTCAATGCAACAACATATATCATATGAGAAGTAGTAATACCTAAGGTTCTCTGCCTTGGTCGAATGACCGACCTCACACTCAAACAGAGGTTTGTCATCGCGTGCGATGCATGGGCAAACATGGCAAGCACAATAATACCAGCCAAAGGAAGATGCAACCAATTTTTTTGTCTCCATAATAGTTTCACAAAATGTGATATGCATATACAGTAGACAACATAAATAATATTTGAGGCAAAAAGAATCACCAAGACAAATAAGTAAATAAATTACCAGAAGCTGTAAACTAAAGTAGCGCATACATATCCAAGTTCAGTAATAAGCATAACAACAACCTTAGAAAGTAACTTTTGAACAGGAGTCAACTGCTGATTTTCAAAGCTCTATGACGAAAGTTATGAATTAGAGCCTAGCTGCCCAGATACAGTAATCATTGAGTCCTTAGGCATGCTTCTTGAATAACAAATTATAAAAACCTCACCTAACATAATTAGGAATCCATCGGAAGGCATATTATGGAGAATCTACTTGTCTATAAACAACTTGATTGGTGGAAAATCAACATTGAGGCAAAGTAGGGTGACATTGTAGGTGTTTGTCACCGGCAATGAAAACTTCCCTACATTAACATAGTGACACACAAGTTTAAGTTAGGAAAAATAATTCATTAGGTAATAACAAAAAAATCCACTAACCCTCTTCCTTGACTTTTTCATACTGAAGCATAACAACAGTCAGACCCGACGCAGTCCCCCGATCCTGGTTGAACTTGACGAATTGGTCGACATATGATTCCCAAAGGGTGCAGTTCATAGTGTTGTTGCTACAGAAAAAATACATCCTAGTGGGTTAAAACATGAAGGGAATATACATTATATTGGGAAGTAGATATACAAACATGTGGTCCCTCAATACCATATTAACTTGATATTTTTTGGCACCCGACTGTGTCTGCGAATATCCAATACTCTCAACCATACCAATGATGTCTGCAAAAAACACATAATTGACATAAGAGTAAAACAACATATTAAATACAAATGCGCAAACAAAACATGTTAAAAATTATTTTCACCTATCAGCACATCCTTGTTAAACTTGCCAGTGATTATATCAGAAAACTTTGTAAACACCAACGGTTTGAGTGGTATTTCATTTTTGTTATCATCCTCAACAGACGTTCCTCCTGTAAACTTGAGCATAAGTTTATGCGGTGAATGTTTGAAAGCCAATATATTAGCCTGAACCTTAAAGTTGGATACTGTGTAAGTATAGTCAAATTCTAACTTCTCATCAAACACGACCATATGTGTTTCTGGGACAACAACATGTATATCACCATCCTGTCATGCACAGATGCACAAAAATGTTAAACGCCGACCATAAAATAACAAAAAATTCAACTGATGCACAGAAAATACAAAAACCTACATATCATGCACATAAAAGTAAAATTACCGCTTTTTCCATAAATATCATCTCAAAATACTCTTTGTTGTTAGAGACCCCCTTCCATTTATGATGTACTCTCACAGACACCTTCCATAGCTCTTTGCTATCATTCACGCCGCATATTTTCTCCACAGGTCTGGCCATCAAATAGCGGTAGGATTGTGTAGAAGAAAAAACTTGATGTTTGAGTATTCTGTGCGACGAAGATGACATGGAAGTTGAAAGTATGGATGGTTATAAATAACACAAATATCATTGAGACGGTTGAAAGAGAAACCGTTTTGAATGAAATATGGAGAATAAAACGTTTACCAAACCATGATTTCAATTTCGTAACCGCTGATGAACATGTGAGAGGAATGATTGGAAAAAATTTAATTTCGTAACTGCCATTGAAAGTGGAGAAACGATTTGGAAAAACTGAAGTGAAAAATCAAGAGAAAGTTTTGGGGAGTGTTAAAATAATTTAGAAGAGAGTTAAACGCACAGACAACCACATGTCGAATTTTAAGAAGAAAAAAATTATTTTTCTTATATGATAGATTCTTGTTAAATACTCCATCAATAACAATAACAAGTAGTTCAAAATAAATACATAATCAATTTTGAACATAAATATATAAAAGGAAAATATAAACAGTTTGAATTTGAAATAAATGAGTATGATCTAAAATAGATAGATTAAAATAATTAAGTTTAAATACTGTTGTAAAATTTTCAATTAATATTCATTTTCAATTATTAATAAATTTAATACCATTTCAACTGATTTAATTATCTTAATTTTATTGAAAGAATTCTGTATTTCTATTCCTTCTAGAATAAAACAAATAATAAAACTAGAAAACAATAAATAAATAATATAAAATGACAAAGGTGTACTTTGAAGTTTGAACTTTGCAGCTTTCAACAACTTCAAAAGGGAACGTTCGTAAACTAAAAGGAATTTCTCATTTTGTTGCGTTGCTTTGCGCGTGGAAGTATTCTTCTGTTCTACAAACTCCTCCGCCGCACACGGTGGTTTCCGACTCACTCCGGCCACCTAGGTTTCACTCCATAGAAACAGATTAACCAACTCACCAACCTAAACCTTTCTTTTCTCTCAGCTGATTACAATTCTCAACACACTCTTCTTCTTTTCTTCTTTTCTTCTTGCTGGTAACTTTCATTTTTTTAGTAATATAATAATTTTAATTTCTAACCAACTTTTATTTTATTTAAATTTAAATTTCTTCGTTAAATAATAGAAATGAATTTGAGTTTCTTTCATTAATTTAATGCATTGAATATTATTGGGGGTTTGATATTTAGATTTTTTTATAGTTTATTGAACTAGGTAAAGTTTATTCTCGTGATATAGCGTTGCGGTGATTTAATGTTCATTAATTCACTTCAAATTTGGGAACTTTACCTTTCAAATTTCCTATAGTTCTCTAGTGAAATGGTAAATTAATTTTCCCCCTTTTTGAATGTGTTTTTTTGAGTTGTTTAGTTGTTAAAAGTCATGATTTAGGATTAAAGTTCCTTTGAGTTTTCAGATTAAAGGGTAGCTTCTGAAGTTTTCTGCATGTTTAATTTCCTCTATTAGGATTGTATTGTGCTGTTGAGTAAGTTTTTGAGGGTTTTTGTTGATTGTGAAAACAAGAATCTGTGTGTGAAAATTGAGGAAAGAAGTAGTTGAAATTATTTAAACATATAGTCTTTCGCAGAAGATATGTATGGTTTCTGCTTTGCTTTGGATATCATATAGCGTTTGAGTAGTCTCGAGTTCTTTTCCCGGGGAAAAGAGACCCTAGTAAATAGTAATCTCGAGTTTTGTTGGCAGTAAATAAAGTGTGGCTAAGGATTATTTCAGCTAATACATTGATCTTAGTTATGATAATTTCTGTCATCTGATTGTTCTTATTTGATGTGTGTTTGTTTGTAGAATTAGATATACATACACCTTGGGTTTTGAACCGTAATCTCAGCTTGGTGGTTGTGTTCTCCATTTGTTTCATTTTCACAGCCCTCTGGTACCTCAATGATGACACCAGAGCCGTCGGGGGAGTTGGATAAACTTGAAATCACAGGTCATCATGTTAGGGGGAATACTGAATATGTAAGGCTTGCCATATCTGATGAACCGAGGGCTGTTGAAACTGAAATGCTACAGCCTCAAACAGAATCAAGAATTAAATCTTTCAGGTGGTGGATGAAAGCCTTTGTATGGTTCGTTGTCATTGTTATACTTGCACTTGGTCTAGTCAAATGGGGAGTGCCATTTGCTTTTGAAAAGGTACTTCCTCATACTTTACAATTGTTCTGACACTAGCGTTGCTTTTCTTGTTGTATGTTTATTGGTGATTTGAGCTTATCAACTCTTATTCAGAAATTAAGCAAAACAGTGCTGTTTGACTCTGATGGTTTATTGAACGAGATACTTATGCCATTCTCGCTTCTAGTTTCTTGAACCTCAATATTTTTATGTAGCAGTAAATTTGATGTTTGGGGTGTTCCTTGGCATCAGATTTCTATGTAATTGGTTACGATTTTTAAAAAACTGCTAATTTTGTGCTCTCTCCCATGTCACATAAATTACAAAGCATCCCTGCACAGTTCACTATGCTTTAACCAACGAAGAATTTTAGGGGAGCTAAATTGATATCTAATCGCATGCTGTCAACAATTACGTGACTTGATTTAGGTTATGATAAGTACTTAGACTTTGGCATGATGACACCACTGGTTTGTTTTTGCGGAGAAATTCAACCATGTAATTTAATAAGGACTATTTTCCTGCAAGTCAGTGGGATTTATTACTTCCTAGCCTTCCTTTCTTTTTCCTTGTTTGCACACATCTCGGCCCTTTCAAATACAGTATCTAGAAATTCGGCATCTCATTAAACTTGAAGAGGTTGGTGACTTATGTAATTGTGAACATTGACATTTTTATTGTAGGTTCTTTATCCAGTGATGGAGTGGGAAGCGACTGCCTTTGGCCGACCAGTTCTTGCCCTTGTGCTTATTGCTTCTCTGGCTTTATTTCCAGCATTATTAATCCCTTCCGGTCCTTCCATGTGGTTGGCTGGGATGATTTTTGGTTATGGCCTTGGCTTTGTTATAATAATGGTTGGGACAACCATTGGGATGGTCCTCCCTTACCTGATTGGACTAAAGTTCCGTAACCGCATTCATGTAAGTCATTTCATTCCACACCACAAGTCTAGTCCTCTAAATTTGTTGAATTTTTATATTTCAAGTAGTTCTTACTGTCGCTTTACGATCTTTTTTTTTTTTAATCTTCTTGTTGTTCAGCAATGGTTAGAGAAATGGCCCCAGAACGCAGCAATGATTAGACTTGCCGGGGAAGGAAGCTGGTTCCATCAATTTCAAGTAGTTGCTCTATTTCGAGTTTCGCCTTTTCCGTATACTATATTCAACTATGCTGTAGTAGTGACAGATATGAAGTTTTGGCCCTACTTATCCGGATCAATAGCAGGAATGGTACCAGAAGCTTTTCTCTACATCTACAGGTTTGTTCTTTTTTATTTAATCTTTACAGAATGTTTATTTAGAAAGTTGCAGCTTCTCATTGTTAACGGTTGTCCATATTTGTGCAGTGGTAGATTAATAAAGACTTTAGCTGATGCACAGTATGGGAAGCACCGCCTGACGACAGTGGAAATCATATACAACATTATTTCTTTCATCATTGCCGTTATTACCATTGTTGGCTTTACTGTTTATGCAAAAAGGTCTCTAAATAAACTGAAAATGTCAGAGGCGATAGAAGAAGCTGTGTCTGTCTCAGTTTCTGTTTCTGGGAATACTAGTCTTGAGATGAAGAAGGGTTCCCATTGAAATAAAAGGTCTTATATTACACATCTAATTTTATTTATGATATCAGTGTTAATATTTATGTATCTAACATTTGGTTTAGGATTACTTTAGCTCACCTAATTTTAAACCCTTTGTAATTACCAGAATCAGAATGTTGGATAGAAAAGCAGAAGTTTCTCATTTTCACTGTAAGCCTATACTACAAATCCACACCAACCAATTTCAGCAAACTAATAGAGCTATCATAATAATCGGTAGTTAATGTAATAAATTGGAAAACGATGTATTTTATAATAATGTGGCCTTTAAATCAAGAGGAATGCTATTTTAACACTAGTTTTTGACACAGTATAGCTCACACCGTAGTTTTACGGCTACACTACTTCAAGGCAATGGAAAAATATTAAAATAAACGAAAAGTAGATGGTAGAGTATGAAAATACGGTGTAATTGTTAATTTTGGGTGTCATAGTAACATTTCTCTTAAATCAAAAGCAAATTCAAAGGTTTAAGTTATTATGTATAGTGGACCATGTCTCATTTGTGTATTCAACAACCATGGGTGACCCCAAAAACTATGTCGACGCCACTTTGGAATGCGTTATTAGTCTTAAATTTCCGGTCCAAGAATAAATAAATGCAAGGAAACAAATATTTTCACTATATTAAAATAACAGAAAAAGGATGTAAAATAATTTTATATTATCAATCAATCACAGTTATGTTAAATGATAAACTATACTGTTATTTTTAAATAAATTTTATGACATAATTAAATGATAAATTTTTATTGAATGACAATGTAAAATTATTTTACACTTTTATGACACTACCTTTTAACTCTACTATTTAATTCCTCCGTGGAAATTCAAATTATGTTTATGGTTATGTTTATCTTTAATTTCTCACAAGTTTATGTTTTAACCTTGCTATAAGATTAATTCTCAAATCAGTAGTGGAAATTCAAAATTTTCCTTAAAGAAGTTGAACTCTCTCAACTAATTATAAGAGAGAATTATAATACCTAGAGAATCTCTTAATATATCCTATGTGATTGAAAAGCATTTTATATAAATTTAAAATTGTTCTTCAAATTTTAGAGATACATCTCCGAACTGCATATTTTTTTCCAACTAAAACAGTAAAACTTGTTGAAAATAATTTATATTTTTAGGAATGTCTTATTGACTAAGTTTGTTAGAGGGTATTTTAGTATTTTATTATACTCTAATTTTGTGTATAAATAGCTTAGTAGTAGATCAATATAATTATTCATTACTCCTTATTTTGTAGCCTTCATTCAATATATTCCTTTTGTCTTTCATCTCATTGTGCACCAATAATTGGTATATATAGTTCTGGTTCGAAATTCACGGGGAAACACGGAAAACACGAGTGAACAATGAGGTGTTGTGTGATTGAGAATCACATTTATCTGATTCTGTGGGATTTGGGAAATATTGTTTTAGTGAATTTTTGAGTGAATTATACAAGGTTGAAGATGAACAGAAACGACGATATCAATTCCAAGCTTCAAGTATTTGATGGTAAAAAGTGGAATCGTTGGAAGATTCAGATGCATGTATTTTTTGGTTTTCAAGATGTGTTAAATTTTATCACCGATGGCTATGCTCTACTAGCAGGAGGCGCGACAGAAGCACAGAAGATAACGCATAAGGCGATAAGGAAGAAAGATCAGAAGGCCTTGTTCTACATCCATCAATGTGTGGATGCGAATGTGTTTGAGAAGATTGTTGACTCTGAAACAACAAAGGCTGCATGGGACACACTGGTCAGATGTTACGGTGGTGACGCATCAGTAAAGAAGGTGAAGCTTTAGTCTCTCAGAAAGTAATATAAGAATCTCAACATGAAGGACAACGAGAAGGTTTCTGAATATATCTCTAGAGTGATTCTGATCACTAATGAGATGAAAGCTTGTGGAGATACTCTTTATGAACAAGTAATCTTAGAGAAGGTATTGAGATCTTTAACTTCTCAGTTTAATACATTGTGATAGCAATTGAACATTCCAAATATCTGAGCACTATGAGAGTTGAAGAGCTGCAAAGTAGTTTAGAGGCGCATGAGTTACGTATGACTGAGAGAACTTCTAAGAGGGAAGTAGAGCAGCAGGCTCCGAAAGCAACTTCTGGTAAGAAGTATCAGAAACAGACTTGGTTAGAAGCCAAGAAGAAAGCTAATGGTGGTCAAAGGTCAGAAGCTTCAAACTCTGATAGGCAGAAGAACGTCCAGAAGGAAAAGGAGAAGTCTGACAAGAAGAATGTCCAGTGTTACTGTTGCAAGAACTTTGGTCACTATGCCAAAGATTGTTGGTCAAACAAAGAAAGGAAGTTAGAAGAAGCAAATATAGCCAGAGGAGAGTCTGATGATAAACTTGTGCTATTGTTGGCTTCTGAATCTGATGATATGAATTCATCAAAATGGCGGTATATAGACACAGGGTGTTCAAACCATCTTACTGGAAACAAGAAATGGTTGGTTGATTTTGACTCTAGAAAGAGTACAAATATCAGATGTGATAATGATAAATATCTTAATGCAGAAGGTATGGGAAATGTCAAAGTCATTCTAAACAATGGGAAAGAAGCAGTGATCTAGAATGTGTGGTATGTACCTGACATGAAAAGCAATCTAATGAGTGTGAGACAACTGATTGAGAAAGGTTTTTCAGTTACCATAAAAGAAAATCTTCTAAAGTTGTATGAATGTAATCAAAAGCTGATTATGGAGTCAGAACAGGGAAGGAACAGAACATTCAAGGTGAATGTTAGAACCGCAGACTCTGAATGTCTTAGTGCAACAAGTATTGTCAAGGAGAGTGAGTTGTGGCATAAAAGATTTGGTCATCTGAAATTTAGAAGCTTAGGACATCTGAAATCGAAGAAGCTGGTACATGGAATTACTACAACCAAGAAGCCTGAGAAGTCATGCAAGGTATGCATGAAAGGGAAGCAACCAAGATTGCCACTTGCATCAGAAGTAGCTCCAAGAGCAAAGTATGCATTGGGAGTAGTGCATTCTGATGTGTGTGGTCCATTCCAGTAGCATCGATTAGAGGGAATAAATACTTTGTGTCATTTTTTTATGAGTTCACCAGAATGACATGGGTATCTCTCATAAAATTCAAACACGGGGTGTTTGCTGAATTCAAGAAGTTCAGAATGAAGGTTGAAAATTAGAGTGGTCAAACTTTAAAGATTCTTACAACTGATGGTGGTGGTGAGTATAACTTCACAGCATTTAGAACATTTTATGAGGAGAATGGAATTAAGCACGAGGTTAATGCTCCCTATACTCCTTAACACAATGGTCTTGCTGAAAGAAGAAACTGTACTTTACTTGATATGGTGAGAAGCATGTTGAAAGAGAAGAAGCTTCCTCATACTTTATGGGGAGAAGTTGTTGCCACTGCATGTTATATGCTCAACAGATGTCCAACGACGAAGCTGAAGGAAACAATTCCTATTCATAAGTGGACTGGAGATAAGAAAAAGTGTTAGTCATTTGAAGGTGTTTGGTTCTGTATGTTACAAACACGTCCCAGAAGCTAAAAGACAGAAGCTGGATGATAGAAGTAAAATAATGTTACTAGTGGGGTACACAGTACATGTTCGTACAAACTTTATTGTCCAGAAACTAACAAAATTGAGTTCAGCAGAGACGTAATTGTAAAAGAATCAGAAGTATGGAATTGGGAAAAGTCCCGACCTGAATCTGATGAGAGAACTCCTGAAGAAAAGTCAGAAACACATGTTTCTGAAGCTGGTAAATTTTTTTACTCTGAAGAAGATTCAGAAGGTGAAAATGATTCAGACTCTGACTCTCATGGTGATTCATACTCTGGGAATTTTCCAGACTCTGAAGACAATCAAGGTTCTGGAGGAAGTCCATTTTCTGAAGTAAGAGCTTCTGAAGGGGAAAGTTCTAGTGTCCGAGGTTCTGAAGTTCAAGTTCAGAGGCAACAAAGAATCAGAAGCATCCCAAGAAGATTTACATAGTTTGACATGTTGCAAGATACTGAAGTAGACTCCAAAGGAGAAGTTATTCAGTTGCAATGTTAGTAGACTCTGAACCCGTGAGTACGGAAGATGCTCTTAAGAATAAATTCTAGTTGCACGCCATGAAAGAAGAACTTGATGCTATAGAGAGAAACAAGACTTGGAAGCTGACAGAACTTCCAAAAGGCAAGAAAGCCATCAGCGTCATATGGGTTTTTAAGAAGAAGCTAACGCAAGATGGATCAATTGGCCAACACAAAGCAAGATTAGTAGCAAGAGGTTTTCTACATAAGCCTGGGCTGGATTACTCTGAAGTGTTTGCACCTGTAGTAAGATATGAAACAATTAGACTAGTGATTGCAATAGCTGCCAACAAGAATTGGCCTCTAATGCATTTAGATGTAAAATATGTATTTCTGAATGGTCCATTACAAGAAGAGGTATACGTGTCACAACCTTCTGGATTTGAGAAAAAGAATCAGGAAGGGATGGTGTTTAAATTACACAAAGCCTTGTATGGATTGACGCAAGCGCCCAGAGCCTGGAATCTGAAGATTGATTCATTTTTCAAGGAACAAGGATTTCAGAAGTGTGAGATGGAGTATAGTGTTTATTCTCAGCACACTTCAGAAGGTAATATGATTACGATATGTTTGTATGTTGATGACATATTGCTAACAGTAAGTTCTGAACAAGAGATAACTAAGTTCAAGAAGGTTCTGATGAATGACTTTGAGATGACAGATCTTGGGAAAATGAGTTACTTTCTAGGGATGGAGTTTATGTATTCTGAGAAAGGAATAATTTTGCATCAGATGAAGTATGAACTTGAGCTTCTGAAGAGATTTAAGTTGGAGAATTGCAAAGCTGCTTTCACACCTACTAATACGAATCAGAAGTTGGACTTTGATTTTAATGGAGAGGATGTGGATACTACAACCTTTAAATAGTTGGTTGGTTCTCTGAGGTATTTGTGTAATACCATACCTGGTATTTTAT